TGCCCCCGGGTCTCAGAAGCAAGCTGAGCCGGGCACGACCTTTGGCTTGTGAAGGCGAATTCTTTTGTGGCTGATAGATAAAAATCTCCACCACATTCGCAAGCGCGAACTCCCTCCCGGATCTACTACTAGCCGGCTCCCCTCCCGATCCCTCTCGCCGCGGCCGAGATCCTTCCTTCCTCCGGCGAGAGCCAGGATGTACTCGTGGGAGATGCTGTCGTTCAACATCCACGACGGGTTCCTGGAGGCGATCGTACGGGGGAACCGCTCGGGCCTCCTCACCCAAGCCGATTACAACAACCTCTGCCAGTGCGAGACCCTCGACGACATCAAGATGCACCTCTCCGCCACCGAGTACGGTCCATACCTCCAGAACGGTATGCCGCGTGGATCTTTTCCTTGTCTTGTTTGGGTTGGATTGGGCTGCTTGGTCTGCGTTGATAGAGATTCGCGATCCCGTCCATGCCAATTGCGATCTCGATTGGCCAATTGGAGATTTATTTTGTTAGGGGAGACTGCACCGTGCTCGGCGAGTCGGGATTGTTTTGAGCTAGCCCTACCTTGTCTGAAATTTCTCTTTGCTCTCTGGGAACCGTTGGGAGCAGGTTTGATGAGCAACCAAACGGGTGGTGTTAATCTACGCAGTGCCTGCAAGTTGGTTATACTGTATTTCCCACAGCCCACTTGTCATCGCAACTCGGTAGCATCAGCCTGATCCCCCTGATGGATCCCTTTCATCCTCATTCATCCACTCCCACCTTACGGTTTCAGCCATCTGTGAAGACGAATTCACCCAATTTATTACATCAGTTCCATTAATGTGCTCTTGTGCTATGATATACAGTATTCGCTGTGTATGTTTCTTCTGATACCTCTGTATTGTGATCGTATTTCTGATTAATTGCAGAACCTTCCCCCTTGCACACAACAACAATTGTGGAGAAGTGCACTCTTAAGCTGGTTGATGAATACAAACACATGTTGTGCCAGGCGAATGAACCTCTATCTACATTCCTACAGTACATAACGTAAGTAATGAAGCACTGCTAGGATGCCATTTCTTTCTGCTTCGTTTGCACAAGCAGACAACATATCAGACCAGTGCAGGGCGGACTTCGGTTTGATCCTAACAGGATAATGTTTTCTTCAGATATGGACACATGATCGATAATGTTGTCCTTATTGTTACTGGGACATTGCATGAAAGAGATGTTAACGAACTGTTGGAGAAATGCCATCCATTGGGCATGTTTGACAGGTATTGTTGTGGTTCCTTTCTCGTTTCTTTTAGATGGAGATCTATCAAATACTGACTCTTCATTTTTTTTCCGCCAATCAACAGCATTGCATCACTTGCGGTTGCTCAAAATATGCGTGAGCTTTACAGGCTGGTTCTAGTTGATACACCCTTAGCACCGTACTTCTCAGAGTGCATTACATCTGAGGTAAAAACTTTGCAACCATTGTGCTGTCCATTTTTGTTGAAATGGTTAAGTATACCTTGGTATGTCATGCGAGCTTCATGTTTATTGTGTAGGATCTGGATGACATGAATATTGAGATCATGAGGAACACACTCTACAAAGCGTATCTTGAGGATTTTTACAAATTTTGTGCGGTATGTACTAAAATATGGTGGCTTCTACAGTTTTTCTGACTGAAAAATGTTGTTTTGCCTAATTGTGTTTGGTTTCTAAGTAACTTCTTTGCAACAGAAACTAGGTGGTGCGACGGCTGAGATTATGTGTAATCTCCTTTCATTTGAAGCTGACAGAAGAGCTGTAAACATTACCATAAACAGGTAAAAAACTAAACATTTCATCCTTTTGCGTGACAGATCTCCATGTTTGCCATTACATTCACAGACATCTGACTGCTAATTTCCTTGTCATGTTCTTTCAGTATTGGTACTGAGCTGACTAGAGATGACCGCCGGAAGCTGTACTCCAACTTTGGTCTATTGTAGGTTTCCATTGGAAGTAGCACTAGCATTACTTTTAGTTAAAAATATGCCTATTTTGCATGTGGTTATAGTAATCTGATGTTTCCAGGTTTCCGTATGGTCATGAAGAGTTGGCTGTCTGTGAAGATGTTGACCAGGTTTATCCCCTGTTCTGCTTTTAAGCTCAATGTTGGTCATTCTACTACATAAATATTTTCAGTTGTCTAAACACGAAGTTATAATGCCATGAACTGGTTCATTTTTTTACCTAACTTTGTGCATATTGCTCAGTATTTCAGGCTTAAGTTCTGTTAATATGGTTATTTCATCATAAAATGTCTCTTTCAAATGTTTGTGATAGGGCCATTGATAACAATTAGCTCCTCTTGAGGTCTTTTAAACATACCATGTGCCCTAGGCTGAACACTTCCTCCTTAAGAATGGAGAAGCTTCATACCTACCAGTCACCAGGGGTCAAGGAATGGGGTTGCCTCTCCCGTGTGGCTTAAAATGAGGGTAAAG